TATATATATATGTGTATGTATATGTATATATATGTGTGTGTATGTATATATATATATGTGTATGTATGTATATGTGTATGTATATGTGTATATATGTGTATGTATATGTGTGTAGAGTAACATATATCTGTGATATATTCAGAAATTAAACGGATTCATTCATTTTTCTGGACTGAATAATATCGTGCATTGAATAATTAAACTGTAACGTGAGACGTTAATTCTCTTTGACCCATCAAATGAATGCGGTCATTTATTAACAGAATCAAAGTTTAACATCAAACATTTACATTAATTTGGCAAAATTGAAAATAACAACAGCTTAATTAATTAGCTTTACAGTCAGGAAAACCATACGGCCATGGTTTTCCGTTGCTTCACAACAGACATTTCTGAAAATATCTGGAATGATTTCTAGCAAAATAGAAGAGTTTAAAGATGGAAATGAAGTTTAAATGGAGAGGAAAAGATGGATGAGGGAAATGTGTCAGTATCAGGACGGCACGCTCCGTTGAGATCCCAGCTTCCTCCTCGGTACACTTAGGTGGTGTAAATCAACTCTTTACCTGTAGCAGGTGTCTCCACTGGTACGGAGTTCCATTTAACGCACCCTTTCAGCGTCTCCGTAGGAACAGCTGTGAATCGTCCGAAGTAGTGCCGGTATTCCGTCCGACACAGGTTCACCTCTCGGTGGACTCACAAGAAGAGTAAGTCCGTCAGAGTTCCACTCAGATGTGGAAGATTGCATAATTCCCACGAGACTTGGAAGAACTCCGGATCATGTCTGGAACTCCTGTTCTCTCCAGCACTTCTCTGTTCGGTTTGCTCTCCGAACCGAACTCGACTGCGCTCGACTGCACTAGCTCTTGACTGGTTTGAACTAGGAAGTGCCGACATTTAAAGAGTTCTATTTCTGGTTCATTTGGGAAGTTCCTGATTGGTCGGTCGACCAGACAGGGTGTGTTTTAGTGATGTAAGAGGTTATTAAAAGTCAAGGAAAAAGATTAAGTTTGTTTAAGAACAGACAGAAAATGTTTTTGAAGATTCCAGACTTCGTGGAGTCAACTCTCTCATATCTGCCTGAAAAAGTTAAAAATGACATTTCTTTTTCAGTAAACTTGCAGTTGACCGAAACTTGACCTTTGACCAACTTCACAATTTGCTCATTGAAGACAGAAAATCAGACAATGCATCATTAACCTGATTTCTACTTTGAATGAGGATTAAAAGTCATTATTACTGTTTCACAGTTGATTTAAAAATGAGTAGTTCACTTCAACATTTAAAAATGGTTTGAACTAAACACACTTTGATTATCAAAACATTTGTAAAATAGTAATGATAATAGAAAAAGAGAGTGTTCTTTCAATTGATCAGTGCAGGACACTTAGGAAGTCTTCTGGATGGACTTGATTTTGTGTTTCTGGACTCAAATCAATGAAATACAGTTCTTGTCCCAGGAAGGCCCTCAAGGCCAGATTTTGACCTGAGGCTTAGTTCACTACATGTGTATGTGTATATATATGTGTATGTATATATATGTGTATATATGTGTATGTATATAT